CTTTCCCTATTCTTATAGCTAGTCACTGGCAGTTGACTAGTTACAAAATTCAACCTGAAAAGAATATGAATATTTAATAAGGAGGGCAATGATACTGTGGTCCAGACCACCTAGGGGACGTGCAAAATGTTCCACCCCCTGGGTACAAAGGGGAAACTGGGCAGCCCTTGCCAAAGGGTCCACCCAGGTTCAGTGGCATGCCAATAGATTGGATGCAGGGATCCTGGTGGAAGGCTGTAATGTGTGTTGCACAGGAGATTAGGCTGGAGGCTCACAGTGCTCCCTCCTTGTGGTGGAAATAGGAGTCCTACTACAGATGATTGACTTAATGAGCATAGGCAGAGCAGGCAACCTGACCTAAAGCAGGTAATGTCTCAGTTAAAGAGGAGGCCCTTGCTAATGATCTCTGGCTCCTATGCACTGTTCCTGGTGATGGTTTGGGTGAGAAGCATGGAGACAGAAGGCAGGGGAGAGCTATTGGCAAGGTTCACTTCTGTGTTGCTCTCTTTGCTAGCAGCAGCAGTGAAATGCAATACAGGAGAGGGAAGAAGCTGATGTAGGAGGTGCACAGTAGCCAAAGTGCAGAGAAACTCCTCATTTCCACAGCAACCATGATGTATGCAATAATGAGCTGAGTCAGGACCCAGGTCAGGGCTTTATACAGCAACCTTGTACACCAGGATTTTGTAAGGTTGCTTAGAAAAGGGTGAATCCGGTAATCGGCTTCCACCATTACTGCCCAGCACAAGAAGCCGAACACCTGCCCTGGGTAGAGGCCGTGCCACCAGGCTGAGAAGGTGAAGGTAGCCAGCAGAGGCTGGGTTGGGCTGCGCTGGAAGATGAGTCTCCTCAGCCACTGGGCAGTACTCCTGTTCCAGGTCCTGGTGAACAAGGCTATCCTGTGTGTGGTCTCCAGGGTCCACATAGCTGTGCCTGAGAGGTCTCCATGGGTAGGGTCATGTCCAAGAGCCAGCCCAAAGCCTGCTGCATTGAGGAGAGACTCATCGAGGGCCCAGTGAGAATAATAGGCCAGTCTGAAGAGCAGAGATGAAATCCACACAACATACACACAGCCAAAGCGAGTACAATATGCCAGGCTGGTCAGTGTGCCCTCATGCCCTCTCATAGCCAGTCTCAGAAGCTGCAGAGTCAGAGCCCAAAGACTTTTCTGGCCAGCAACCCAAAGGGACTGCGTGAAGTATGGTAGACTTGAGCACAAGATCTGGGCCTGAAATCTCTTAAAAGAGCACAGGGGGCCTCCTAGCAGGGCAGGGAAAAATAGCAGGTAGCTGCAGAAAGGTAATGCTCCCAGCAGGGGCTCCTTCCTCCTCCTGTGCTCAAAGGTCACTGTCACTGTCCCTTCATGGATGTCCAGAGCCAGTGATGTGACCTTCTGGGTCAGCAGCATGAGAGAAGAAAGAGCAATCGATAGCCTGAAAAGGAGATGAGTGAGTAGGGCCTTCATGTATGGAGTCTGTTAACACCCCAGCCTGTGAGGGGCTGCCCTCAGCTGTTGGCACTTTGCTCTATGCATCTATGGTGCTCACAGGGCCCCTCTTTAAACTCTGAGCACTCGGTCAGCAGCCCCCACATTTTGCCTGCCCATTTTCATTATCCCAGGCAGATGGACAGATGGCTGAGCCAGACTTTGCTGCTTATCTGCAATCTCCATCCCCCCACCCCTCGACTTCCAAACTTTGGAACCCATGGACTACAGTTGCATCAATGCTTCTGACCCCAGCCTGAATCCCCAGTTCGCACACCCTGACCATGAAACACAACTTCTGGGTTATTTTCTGGGCTCCTATTTCTATTCCTGTATGAAAGTGAACAGCCCCATCCCTACAATGACAGTACAGCAGAGAAATGGACCCAGCACAATCGGTGCAAGCCAGAGCAATGCCTGGAGCACTAGGAATGTGGTGAATTTTGAATTTCACCCCTAAAAGCTAATCAAAGAGCTGTTAAGTTCTTGATTGCTATGGAAGGCTAATGGTGAGACCCAATAGAAAGCAAGCTGTACTTAATAGCTTAATGCTGGAGGGGAACAGGAGAATCTCGTTTCTAAAATGTTAAAATGCACACAACAAGACAAACTGTGTTGTTCTTCCCTGCGTGGTGCTGTTTGCTGTAGTATTTCCTGTGAAAGAGACTGCCTAGAACTAAGGGACACAGACCAAGTAACAGGTTTATTCTACTCTGTCACCCCCTGCCAGCTGTAAAGTTAGGAAAGGTCTTGATATGATTTCACTATAAGCAAAAATCTCTTGGTGGAGGAGATGGACTTGTGCTCTGCTACTTGTTACCTGATGCATGGGGCTTCTTGCAGATAATGCTCTCTGTAGTGCAGCCCAAGGTGGCAGAGTGTCTGCCAAGACATCTGGAAGACAAACACCCATGTGTGGACCCGCAGTGGGCTGACTGAGTGGAATATGGCCACCGAGCACAAGGCTGGGATGAAGAGCAACAAGGCATACAATCCCATGGCAGCACATGCTATAAGGAAGCCTCCAACCAGAAGAACAACATACCTAGAAGGAAGCAAAGACATCTGCAAAGGTTGCTGTATCAGGTTCCTGACCCCCTACCTTTACCTAACCAGTCAGCATCTCCTGGAAGCAGGTAAGCCTGCCATGCTGTTCTGTGGTGTTTGGTTTTTTTCCTGCAGTGCTTGGTACTCAAAGACTTAAAAGGCTTGAAGAGGGCCATTGTTACAACACCAGAAGTCAAATACTTCAGGGTCCTTGAAAAATAGGGCACCTGGTCCAGTGTGTCGTACTCCATATCCATTATTCCTAACTTACCACGGCTTATTGGAGAGAGCTGAACAATCTCTCTTCAATAAGGAGGTCTACCTTATGCTTTCTTCTGTTTTAACCACCTATCTGATACTTTCTGTCCAACCTGTGGGAGATGGGTGCAGCTAACCCAGTCCCTGAGGGGATGGAAAAATTGGAAAACGCCTGTCCCAGGGGGCTAGCCTTTGTGTCCTGAACAAATGGCAACACCCTCACTGTGATCGTAAGTGACCACTTGTAAGCCTTGTCCAAACAGGCAGCCTTCTAGAAAGGATCTCCATCTGAGATGAGGATACAGGTCCAGGTGATCCTGAAGTCCTGCAATTTGAAGAGCATATTTCTTTAGAGAGAGAATGATAGTGATGGCTTTCTCAGTGGCTGTACAATGACAGAGAGTACAATCACCTACTCATCTCTGATCTCCTGTTGGCAAGTCATCAGTGGAGGCTGTGGACAAAAATCTTTCAGCCTTGAGTACCTAACAGGGAACAACCTGATTTCCAAAGGTACAGGTGTCCCACAGCTCCTCTGATGTCAACTTTTTCTACTTGGTTACATACCTGTTTCCTCTTTCTGAGGAAAATTGACAGCATCAAACGTAGCAGAGAGGTTGGAGAAAAATGATTTTAGCCAGGATGTAGCCATTCCCTACAGTGCTGTCATTTGAATAGTCTGTAAGAGATATGACATAAGCTCCTGGCAGCATCTGTCTGACACTCCATTCTCTGATAAAGGGATTTCCTACAATCCAGCATAATTCAGATGTGGTACAGAAATGGGTTCCCTGAAGCATCAGACCCTCTAACTTGTAGAAGCCCTAAATAAACCCAGTGCGTTTTTCTTTCTTCTTCCCTTCCTAAGACTACAATCCATAATTGCTGCCTACATACCTGTCTTCAGAGGTACTATTTTTAAAAAGCCTTTACATTACAAGCACAGGTCCATTGAAAGTGTTTGACTTAGATGCTTATGAAACTCCCACCATAGAATCACAAATGTGTTCACTGATTCATGATTCAACCTGTGATTTGTACTTGTACTTTAGAAACTTGGCAAATGATTGTTACTTTGTAAACAGTGTAAAGCCCTAATGAAACACAAACTTTCCTTTATGAGGAAACTGAGGCACACAGAGGTTGTGATTTGTCCCAAATAATGTTATGACTCAATAGAGGAGCAATGAATAGGCTCCAAAAATTTGGTTTCCAGGTCTTTGCTGTAACCAATTAAAGAAGTTGGCAAAATTCTCTTTTTTTGTGAAACCCACAGTTAACATAAAATGTGTTTATAAAAAAGATCACACGGATGAACATAACATAAATACAAAAGCATACCTGGCACTTGGAGAGAGATACCCAAAGCTGCAGAGATAGTGAAACAGAACAGCAAATGGAAATGCCAGCATCTGGTACAAAATGGTAGGGTTAAGAAGAAAGGGATCTGCCCACTCCATGGAGAGTCCTGTTTTAAAGTGTCAGTTCTTCAGTAGAGTTCAAATCCTGTTGTACCTAGGTAAAGAACTGAAACTAGCCTCTCTTCAGCTGCTCCTTATAGGGGGAAGGAACTCCAGGTTAATGGAGGTAAATCAAGAACAAGACCTGAGATAAACAGAGCAGATGTCAGCCAGAGATCAAAGCAATTGTGCCTAGGAAACGAGAGTATTTGCAGTGACACACAACAGCATGCAAAAGAAAGAGGGCAAGGTAAAACAGCACCTGGGAGCTTGTTGTCTTTAAATCCTGGTTCTGCTAAGCATTTCTGTCTCAGGATTTGTATTTTATATGGAAAATACATTTTCATACTTGTTCTGCTATGTTCCTGAATAATCCTCCCAGCTAAAGAGAACTAAAAACCAAGATAAGAGAGTTCTTTTTCAACACACATCTTAACTACCAAGCTATTTTAATGTCTTGAAAATGGAAGAAATTACTGCAGAGATTATTAGACTCCTGAAGCCAGCCTTTCACTTTGCCTTTGTGCTCTATGACACCCCGCCACAATGACTGGTATTACATCAAAGCTGTTGCAACAGCAGAGTGAGGCCAGTGGGAAGATAGTGGTAGCATAACTGTGCAACTAATGGAGAAATTCAGAGCAACAGTCAGGGGACAGAGTACTTAATCCCACCTCTCTCCCACACCCATCATGAGAACTCACTCCACACTGCATGGGCACCGTGATATACACCTGTTTTAACAGTGGTTCCAAACTTTTTTGCACAGCACTTTATTCTCAAAGGGTGAAGGTTGCTAGTTCTCAGGAGTGCCTGTGCTGCTCATGCCCCCATCACCACCACCAAGAGGGTCACCATCAAGCTGGCCAGTTAGCGTTACAAATGATGCCAAAACAGGCATTGGCAAACCAGGAAACAGAGTTTCCTATTTGCCCCTATGCTTGGACATACAATATGCTTACATGAGAGCAAAAAAGACTGGACATATGTCAGAGTTCAACACCAATTATACTGGGGGAAAAGTCAAGGATAAAACTTATACCAGTTACACTGGTACAGATGTCACGCATCTGCAGCTTGCCCTGGAGTACCCATTTACTCGAGGCAGGGCACAATAACTGGCACCCTGCTACCTAGTGGTGAATCACTACAATAATCACATACTGGATATAGCACCCCAGATTGGCTGCCCTCCTGTCTGCTCTGGATCCTGGTGTAATTATTTATAGTGGTATACAAAACTGATGCAAGTTACAATGATGTATGTATTTCATGTGTCCAGGCCCCCTGACTCATGCAGCATTGCCTCAACCCCCTTTGACTTATGCCCTGGCAGCAGTGCTCAGCCTTTTGGTCCCACAGACCAAATGAGTGGGGTGAGGCCAGTTTAGGGGCAGAATCCAGCCCCATGTGCTAAGATCAGACTCTGGGGCTTAGCACTGCCCCTGCCATGCCTTGAGCACAGGAATTGGTCCCCAGCGGTGTGGATGACAGCACTATGGGCTGGATCTGGCCTGCAGGCCAGTAGTTGAACAGCACCCCTGCCCCAAAGCATTGGGGTCCAGCCTTTTTCATAGGTGTGCCACAGATAAATCCCACATCTTCCCTAATTGCCATTCTGATCCCCTTCCCCTGCCCAATCAACTGCTCATTTTCTGCCCCTTGCCCTGTGCTCCCTCCCCAATCTGTTTCTCTCCTTTATGATCTGGCTCCCTGCTCTCTATTCCTTGCCTGATCTGCTGCTCTCCTTTCTGCTACCTGATCTGTCTCTGTGGTGCCTGTCCCCTCCTCAGTCTTCTGCATGCCACACACAGAGACTATGTATGTCACAGGTTGGCCACTCATGCCCTAAGGAGTCCTGCAATGAGACCTTAGCATCTTTTCCCTCTCAGCCCTGTCAACCTGCAAGGAATCAGCATGGGACCATGTGAATAGGAGGGCTGTCTCAGTGTGGTCTCTGTTGCCTGCACAATGGCAGGTGCTGCTTGGGGGATTCTGAGGTCTCAGAAGGTTCTGCTATATTTCCATTCCCAATTGCCTAATCCCCTTGGACCACAATTAGGGTTGAGTAATTGCATTGTGTGTGTAGAAGTTCTGGTTGTGTTAGACCTCAGTTATGCTAAGCTATAGTAAGCTACGGTGCTGAAGAGTGGTATGGAGAAAGGGGCCTTGCGACTGCTGAATGACCTGGTAAGAAAGAAAAAAAAATACACTAATGAGAAGAAAAACACTGAAGGGAGTATGAAAACAGAAGCTAAACAACTCAAGGACAAATTAAAAAGTAAGAACTTACTAATGAGATGGAGATACGTGCAGGTCCATAAACTTAGCAAATGAAACAAGTAGAGAAGACCATCTCAACAAAGAGATAAGAATTGGCAAAAATGGGGGCACGGGGGCAAGCAAGTATAAATAAAGGGGTTGAGAAGCATGTCCATTGTAGAGACCTAGGGGAGCGTGAATAATGTATGGTGTCTCTACATGTCAAGGACAAGCTGCATTAGGTTGGACTGACCAAATGATGTGATGTCTGACAATAAACCTTTCTGGGCTTTTGCCACTGAACTCGTATGTGAGCTGTGTTTTCTGCATCACCTTCAGAATCTGGAAGATGGTTTGCTAGCATTGGCCTTCCACAACCCACAGACTCCAGCAGCCTGTATATCAAAAGTGACAGCAACCAGATACCACCTGAGAAACACTCCATATGCCTCCGAACAGCAACATGTAAAGTGTCAGTATAACTCTGCATCTCCTACTTTGCCAGCAGTTGAGGGTGGCAATTAGTTTCCAGCTCTGGAAGGACAGGCACAGCACTGAGTACTGGTGAATGCTGGCAACCTTCACTCCGGGGAACTGTGGTTTTTACATAGAAATTGGCTTTTTTAAAGAAAGCATGGCACTAAATGTGACAAAATAACAGTGCAACTGGGGAAAGCAGATGGGTGCTGGTAGTAGGCTCTGCAGAGCTCCTCAACTCCCAGCTGTAGGCACCAGCTAGCGGGGATTTAACAGGGGCCAAGCCCTGTTACTGAGAGTAGGGCTAGGCAGTAGAATTTGAAAACTGCAGAGCCCCAAGATAATAAGGAGTTTGGAAGAATTAGGTAATGGCCTGCTGAGGTGGCCCCAGCCCAGAAGGAGGAGGAGCCAAAGACTATATAAGACTTGTACCAGAACCAGAAGGTCAGTCTGCCTTGGGCAGAGCTAGAGGTAGGAGCCCCTTGCTGGGAACTAAACTGGTTCAGGCTGTTGTTTGTTTTTTTTTCTT